TATTATTACTGTAAGTTATGTTGCCATGCTTAAATAAGGTTGATTTGGGTATGCAAATGAACTCCTGGTGTTTTTAGCGCATTTTCTCATTTATGGAAAAAATTCACTATTGTGCTCGCCATGTCCGTCTGTCCGTCCGTCCGTGACTTCACGTTTTCGTCGAAGAGAAAATACGCTCTCTGTCACTCACTGCAGTAAGTACTGAGTTATATTTTTTGTATATGTAACGAGTTTTTACATTTTGTTTGCCTATTAAAGCATTATTTCTCAATTAATTTATTATAACACCATTAATAAAATTACATATTTTAAAATCACACATTGAATATAATTAGTAACACGATATATGAGGCATTATTGAATGCGGCTCTAAAATTCGATCTCTAGATTCCTTTGCTCCGTGTCTCTGCGCTCATGATCGTTTAGAGAAATGATAACCATCAACACTGAAATATTTTGAACTTTAATAAATAGTTTTTCTAGCCTGTCAGAAAATAGTGTGAATAATAATGAGTAATCTGCAGAATGCAGTGCATGCATTGTTTATTTTTAGTATAGTCTTTAGGAGAAATAAGCTCAGATTTCTTATCTTGTACTCACGCTCGTCGGAGATGCTACAAGGCAGAGCGTCCGAAGCAACGGCTACGTCTTCGCCCGAGGTTGCCTTGTAGTGGTCGGTGAAGCTGAACCAATCTTCCTGGCTGTTCAGGTCCCACTGGCAAGAATGTGCGATTACATTCGGGTTTCTGGCATTTTGTTCAAGTATTTTAGGCTGTTTATATCAATATGAATCACTGGAGGACACTTAAATTATATTTAATCCTTATTATATAAGTAAAATATTATTGGAAGCAGCATAGAATTTCCTGGTGGTCTTTGCATCTTCTACGGCGGTTCACTTCGGAGATGCTGAAATATTTTGTAAGTCAATATTTAGATCCCATTTATGGATTTTACATTGAAATCCACGTATGCTTCAAACTTATTTATATCCATTGGTAAAAATCCAATATTATTTTAATGGGAATGGTTACAACTTACTATCAACTGCGAAGGCTTAAGTCGCGGTTTCAGTGATGACCAATAATTTTTGGCATTAAACAAAGCGTGGACGCTGGTGTATGGTAGCGCCCGATTGCAGTAAAACTTCGCCAGAGGATCTCGAAGCTTTGATTCTTTTTCTATGATCTCTTGACCGGTTCTCGTTCCACTTGATCCCTCCCACGGGGGGTTTCCCTCATGCCCCTCCGTCTCCCAATCTTGCGTTTGAGGATGAGAACCTAGGCCTTCTGATTTGATTTTCACTTTGGTTTTATTTGTGTTAGTAGAATCATCGATTTCAATTGACTCTGTTATGGAGTTGATAACATCTCGACTTTCGTCCGTTATTATTTCTTTATTCATATTATAGGTTTCCTCTCTAATTACGTCTTCATGCTCGAAATTTTTGCTTTCCCCGTAACTATCCTCATCTTTGTTCTTTTCAGTTCCACCCTGCTGACGATCCTTCAAAATTCCTTCGGCTGCTTTCTTTCTACTTTGAGTTTGTTCAGTCTCTCTTATGCGTCCAGGGCCCCGAAATTCCGGAACTATCGGAAACAATTCACCAGTCGTGGGCTCGACGAACAAAGGAGTAACGACTCCTCTTGCAGGAGGCAGAATGAGCACCCAATAGTGAAGGCTGCTTGCTTCGTGCTGGTTTTGGTCTTCCTAGAGAAGTTAATTTCATTGATCTTTCTTGGAAAAATTTCATTAGAATAAAAGTTTCAATGGCACTTAGTACACCAATGTTGAAAAGCTTTGAATGGAATAAGAATTCATTCATGGAGAAGGTTCACTGTCACATGAACTCAAGTAGAATAGATATTTGGGCTATGGTTTCCAAAAATTATCGTCTAATTAAATTAAAAAAATTCGCTGGATGCATTCAACAAGTAGGCTAACAGCTCCATATTCTATCAGAAATCCGTTATTGTAACAATCTCAAAGCGCTCGTATGTGTTGTGCTTTGTTAACACTAATAATAAGCGCCAGCTTAACTCACTTTCTCTAAATGTAGAACGTCGCTCTCGACTTTTGCTGGTGTTAGATCTGCGTTGCTGGACCTTCGAATAAAGTCACTGTGTAGGTCAGGAGGAGGCTGGACCGCGTATTTCATGTTGCCGACCTTCCCGCCTTCAATTTTTTTCTGTGTAATTTGAAAGAATATATTACTTGAAGATTGTTCCTATTCTCAATAATATTTAATCTTAAGAAAGTTTAAATCGGATGATGTGCACGAGATCTAGTCAGGATGTGAACTATTGCTCTCGTAAATAATGATGTGCTAACGAGTTAACAAAATTGTTGTAAATGTAAACGGGACCTTAACACAAACTTTTTCCATACATGTCTATTTAATAATTTTCTTTATAATGAACGTGGGAATGTAAACTTGCCTCTTCGCAAGGGATGATGAAGGGAGATTCGAGGGCAGAGCTGTCTGCTTGTACGATGGAGAGCGGCGCGTCGCCCTGTACGACGAAGGCGCTGTAGGAGCAGCCGAGGGCGAGGCATGCGAAGCTCGCCGCCATCTCGAACGCCCCGCCCCTCTGCTGGATGAGAACTTCATGGGCAGATCTCCAGCTCTGAAGGAAAGCGTGCGTATCGAAATAAATCCAAATAGATCTTGTGACGCATAAAAATTATGGATAAATTTGTTATAAGTAAATTCAAATGGAAGAATATAAATGAAAAGTATTGGGTATAACGAATTCTTCGCCTAATGTTGAATGAGGAAGTTTTCACACATAGGATTTTTCACATAAGGAAGTTTTTAACATCATTAAAAATAAAATCTCAAAATCTCAAATCAAATCTCAAGTAAATGAATTACTGGCAACATAAATGTGTCTTGCAACCGATAATGTCACAACATGCGAGAGGTACCGCTGGCTGCTGCTGTGGGTGAGGGTATGTTTGTTGTCGATGATGTGGTTGTTGTTGCAAAGGCAGCGTCGGCTCGAAGGTGATGAGGTTGGAAAATGTGGCGGCAAGGCAAGGCAGTTCCAGCAGCTGAGGGTGCTGGGGCGTGGATGTCACCAGCCACTCCAAGACGCTTTGCTGCTGGAAACAGCGATAACCGTTGATATGAGATGGGTAGTATTATTATTATTAAATATCTCAATTATGCAATTATTGTTGAACTGTGTAATTTTTCGTTGAGGCAACAGTGAACCCCGTCCTGCTGTTCAGCCTGCCGCGAATACTTTTAATGATTGAAGACCATCATAAAATAACTAGAAACATTATATAGCTAAAAATATCTGTGCACTGTACCATAAGATGGAACAAAATAACCATCTGGGTTAAATTCAGGTAAACCTACCATACATCAATCGCTGCGTGTGAGTTTGATCCAGCAGATTTAGCGTAGAGTTTCTTGCCTAACATTTTCTACCTATTTTGTTTTTCCAGGAATGAGTAATAATTTTCACCATTTTCTTGTAGCCGTCGCTGCAGAGCAGCAACGCGGAGGTGACGATAGCGGGGCACTCAGGACACCGTCCATAGTAGACACGCCTGTAGGTGTCCAACAGGGATACGAGCTCGCTGCCAGAGGTCTTCTTTCCAGTCTGCATTTTCTGAAACAGATCAATCTAGTTTAAAACGTTTGTTTAGTGAATTCTTGCGGTGCATGGTCTTGTAACTTTCTTGTCATTCATTCAGGGGAGTCGTATGATCTTCAAGTTCTGTTTATTATGCATAACACTATTATTTTCTTGCACCTAGATCGATCACGAAGTCATCGGCTTTACTGGGTTCACGCGCAACAAACTGAACCTCCAAAGCCTTACTTAACGCACGGTGATTGATAAGAAAGTCAATAATTGATAAGATTGATGACGCAAAATCATTTTCATACCATAATTTTTTAATTATCATGCGACTTGTAGTAATTCCAAAATTAAATCATAAATCACACACGCTTCAGTCAATGGCCACACGACGACGAAATATATATAGCAACAACATAGACGCCGGAACGCGTAGTCATGACGACGAAGGCGAACCTCTGTTGAAGTGCGTTTTCCGATTAATGACGGGATACTTATACATTTGTTTATTTCAGAATATTAAAATAGCCGGACCGAAATGAGGATTTGTGAAAAACTGTGATACTGCAGTTTTGTGATCTCAATTTAATGTTATTATCTACCTTGGACGTCTCACTATCGAAAATTGATTTGCTTCAGCAATTAATGTTTATGCCTCACTTAATTAGTTGGAGCAAAATGTGTGTTTTGGGCAAAAAGTTTGTCTATGATTACCATCATTCTCACATACATTGTTGAATTTTGAATGAATTCTAGGAATCTTGAATGAATTCAGGAATCTATTCGACCTCAGTTCGCATTCTTGGAGTTGACAAATTGAACTCTTCTGCTTGATGTGACTCCAAAAGGTCTTGGTATAATAATTAGCCAAGAGTCAACCGTACAAAACTGATTTACATTAATTATTTCCTTTATATCACTCAAATCTTCAAGATTTCCAGAAATTGACCATCGAATTAATTATTGTCACAGGTCACTGCTTTCAGTGTTAATTTTCGTCCGGTTGAAACTCTATTTGGAATCAAAATAGGAGCTACTGGCGGTAAATAAGTTATGAAAACGCGTTGTACTCGAAAATTTAGAGCTCACAAATGAATCAGTGGAGTACCAAATTATCTGAGATAAAATAGAACATACAAACTCTAAAAATACAAACAAATGAAATCTCAAATAGAGCACATCCAAGCACGGGAAATCGATCGGTAGAATTAAAAAAAAACATCAACGCGCAAGAGTTTAAGATTAAGTTTTCATTCGACTGGTAAATCTGCAGAAGATTTCAAAATATACAGTTATTTTTCACTTTGTTTTTGACCATCCGCTATTGGCTATTGTATTTACAATTCTGTACTATTTGCTTTCATGGCAAATCGCGGAGTACTGAGTAGTTCGTCCGGTACTATCGACAGCTGAAGATGGCGGAGTACCTGGCATCGATTTTTGGCACCGAAAAAGATAAGTAAGTCGTTTATTATTGCTATCAGTAAAATCGGAATGATTGCTGTAAGCCGACTGACATTGGAGAAGAGGTCTTGCCTATGAATTTCTACTTTTAAAAATATCTGTATGATGTAGCATACTAGCATATCTCAGTTGTCTGAGTTGACTGACAATTTTTTTTAAGTTAATGTCAAGTGGTCGATGTCATTATCATTATGATGATTAATGTCTCCCAAATAATTGTGTTGCTGGCCTCCAATAGATTGATTTTATGGACTAAACATTACAATAGGATAAGTAGAAGTGTGTTAAATTTTGACTACAAGATTTGTAGCAGACAGACAGACAAACAAGAAGTGAAGTTAAAGAGAAGTGTTGTAAAAATGGCAGTCATTTTTGCACAGCTGGGCTACTTGGGAGAGTTGGGACACCCCCCAGGGCTAATCGGGACACCCCCAAAAGCACATTTACAGGAGAACCTCGGTTAGCAAAGGCTCCAGTTAAGAAAAAAATTTATTAAAAACAAAGAATATTGATTACATATACCTTGCTGTGCGAAAAAAGTTCACCTTTTGAAAAATTAGTGCATCATCAGTCATCACAAAATTGTGCATAGAATGTCATATTTAGAATTGTGCACTGGGCATCATAGAATGAAAAGTAATTGACCTAAACTACGATTTATTTTTCCAAAACATATGATGGTTGTCACTAAAACATTCCTTTCTGTTTCAGGCATGTTTTTCACAATATTTTTATCTCATTTTCTCATTTATGGAAAAAATGCACTAGTGTGCTAGCCATGTCTGTCTGTCCGTCCATCCGTGACCTCAAGTTTTCGTCGACGGGAAAATGCGCTCTCTGTCACTTACTGCAGTGAGTACTGAGTTATATTTTTTTATTGTAAATTCACTTAACCCAATTAAAATGGTGTGAAATTACAAGCTGTCCTGTAAGCTTACAGATACAGAAAAAATGCTATAAGGCTGCTGATATGAAGCTTGCAGTGTAAAGGTTGTTGTAAATGCTCAATGGCATGTTCATGGATACGGTAATATCGGTAATATCATCTCGTTTATAAACGATGGCCAAAGTCACTCTGGCGTTTATGACCTTGTTTACGACCCTGGCGTTTATGACCCCGTTTTTGTTTGCAAAACAAAATAAAAAAACGTGGCCAAGGTCGGCCAAAAGTTGATGGTAATTGATGTTTATGGTAATATATCAATTAAGGAAAAACGAGTAAAAATCACAAAAAATTTCATTTATTCTACCTCTACATCATCTACAATGAAAGAGGAGGACTTCAGAGTACTGTTAGTAATGGATGAGTACACTCTGCATGCTTCAAATATTTTAAAATGAAGTTTTATTCCAAGTGTCCCGAATAGCCCCGTTCGATGGGGCTACTTGGGACTCTCTTTTTTTGCTTCTGGCACCTTACAAATAGCATATGGATTTTTTTTTTGAAGATGCCATTCGATAGGTAGCCCTCGCAAAGAGCTATAAAATGAATTTAAACTTGTTTATGAAATGTTTCATGGTAAGAAGTTATTAACAAAAAATGCTCAAAACCATACCTTTTTACCCCATTTGATGGTATACATATATGACTATTAACTATTTTGATCTTATTAATTAAAAGTGCTATTATTTATGCAATAATTGCTGACTGAAATGGAGTAAATTGATTTTTCAGCATGTGACAAAATATGTGTGCAATGTAATCAACATCAACTGTTTATGTTTTCAGAGTGAACTGCAGCTTCTATTTTAAAATAGGAGCTTGTCGTCATGGGGACCGCTGTTCCAGAATTCACAATAAGCCTAATTTCAGCCAGGTTAGTATATGTTATGTAAACTACCATCAATAATCCTGTGTGTAGTTCTCTATTCCTGGGTGCTTCATTTATATTTGGAGGTTGTGTGTGTTTGTTTATTACACTAATCTGGAAGCTGTTGTTTTGGGAGATCTGCCATACCAGTGATTGCTTTACTAAATTGCATTCCAGCAATGTTTCTGATGTTTTGTTGTTGGTCATTGAGGTTCTTAACTTTGAAGTCTTCTGTGGGTTGCTTGAAGCGTGATGGAGCATCCATCCAATAAAGTTTGGCTTTAAATTTACTACTACTAACCCTTGTAACACTAACGTGTAAAATATGGAAGTTAACTTCTGCTTTTGTAACTGTTCTTCATTCATTCTTTCCTGTGAATGGGACTTAGCCATTTGATATTGGTGCTTGCAAATCAAATGAGACTAAACAGTAATATCTCTCTTAATTTTAATCTAAAGTACTATATCGAACAACATTCAAATACTGTACCTGATTATTAGTTGTAGCGATATGCTTTTCAGAAGTAATTTCCATTAATGAATCTGCAAGCATCAAAATCATGTGATATTTAACTAATCATTTTCAAACTAATCACCATCACCAGCTCCTGGCCTACATCGTAAGTGGGTATCACTAACTCAGGCATGTGGTATTTTACAGACTGTACTAATACTCAACCTCTACTGCAACCCCCAAAATTCGGCCAAATCAGCGGATGGTTCCCATAGTGAGTCTAACATGTCTAAGCTTCTGACTGTGTTGTGGACAAATTGTGGGTAGCTCATTGAACTTAGAGCCTCTGTTGTCATTTGATGGTTGTTTTCTGAAGAAATTTCCTCTGTAGTAGCTTGATATAATGCACTATTCCTCTTCTTGTGTTGCTACTTGTTTCACATCTGATATGCATTTTTGTCAGAAGAAGTTGGCAATTTTTCCATCAGCCTGGTTGTTTCATTCATTTTTATTTATCAGTATTGTATCTTTTTTCCTCACCATCTATTTATGTTGTAACTTTAGGCATTCTAGTTTGAATGTATGCCATGCTTCTGAAAATTCTACACTATGTTCTATTTAATGTTAAAATAGTTACCACATTTTAAGTGTCTGGTCCTGCACTAACAATGAAGCATGAATATCGTAATGAGAAATAAATTTCATCAATTTTTTATGTTTTGTTTCTCTTATGAAAGTAAAGTATTATTCTGCCTTCACTTGGATGCTTGCACTCAAAGTATTGGAATTTAGTTCCAATTTCCCTGAAATTCTATCATGGATGAGCTGCTATGAGAAATTTTCATAGATCAATTCAGGTAATTCTAGGTATTTAACATCCCTATTATTGTGTCACTAGACTGTACTTCTGAAATCGTAATACCTTTCTCTAATGACAAATAATATCAAAAGGGGGTTGTTCAATTAGTTGGTTTTTTGTAAATTAAAGTTTGCATTTTAATTAAGTACATAATCAATACAAAGAAAATAATATTTTCACTTAGCCTCACCTAATTTTTTTATTATCCTTTTATACTTTTAATTAATTGTAATTCATCCTTCTCTCATAAAAACTTCTTACTTAATTTTATAACAATTTTTTGTCCTGTTTTTTTTTTTTTGCTCTATCCTACATTTGTTGAAATGTTGATAAATTAAAGTTTATTATTAGTTTCTGACAATTAATTTACCTTTTCCTCTACATGTACAAGTACCTAGTGTAAAACTTTTCAGTTTTTATTAAACTTTTTACTACCTAGATTTTGGTTGTATTAAATTCTGCCATAGCAAGGTGGTCCTAATTTCTGCATCTGAGTTCTTCTTTTTTCCAAATCAATTTCTTTGATACAGCTTTGAGAAAATTTTCTGTTATAATATAAACTTCTAATGAGGACATTTCCTCTTTTTTTTTGTCTGTTGTACTCATATTATTTGCTTTGTTTTCTGCATGGCGCCCTTGTAATTTGTATATGTGCATAGTCTTGCTGAGCTAAAAATATCTTTATTTTAGCCACTGTCAGTGATGAAGAAATGCAGGAGCACTATGACCTCTTCTTTGAGGAGGTCTTTGTTGAACTTGAAGACAACTATGGTGAGATTGAAGAGATGAACGTCTGCGACAACCTTGGGGATCATCTAGTTGGCAATGTCTACATTAAGGTCAGTAGTTGGGATTATTGGTCTTTGCTGAATTTAAATTTCATTCAAAACATCACGGAAAACTAAATGTAATGAAGAAAATTACTTTATCTATATTTATGTTGTTCATTGATGTATTAATGTACTTGCTGAGATATTCAGTGCCTTTCCTGGTTACACATCAAGTGTAGTGTGCATGTGTTGTTGTTTGGCAACAATTCATCATTAAGTAATTGATGCTTCACTTCCAAATCTGTGGTTGTGGCTGCTATTGTAGCTGGTAATGCAGGTGCTGCTATGTGGATGATAATCATATTTTATATTTGCATCAGTTCAAATTTGAGGAAGATGCCAAGAGAGCAGTTGAAGACCTCAACAACCGCTGGTTCAACAGACGTCCTATGTTTGCCGAGCTTAGCCCAGTCACTGACTTTCGTGAGGCCTGTTGTCGACAGTATGAGATGGGGTGAGATTTTAACAAAATTGACTAACTAACAAAATCACTATCCAAAGCTTACTTCTGCTAACAGTATATTCTAAATCAATTTGTCTTTATGCTCGTTAATCTAAGCAAGGGCGTGTTTGTTCATTCAGTTAGATGCATAGATGTGATGAGCATACAATCATGCATTGATTTGTGCTGTTATGTCTTATTTTTTGAACACTCAACTCAACACCCTGAATGTTGCAGAGAGTGCACCAGGAGTGGCTTCTGTAACTTCATGCATCTAAAGCCCATCTCCCGTGAGCTCAGACGTGAGCTGTACAGCCGCAAGATCGTTCGCAGGTCTTTACTTAGTGATTCATTGTTACTTTGCTACTTTTAGTTAAAAAAGTTGCAGTGATGCAATTTTCTGTGACGTATCAACCTTGCTTCCTGATTCGACTGTAATATAAACATGCTATTGTCCTAATATTGAGTTCCTAGCAGTCATATAATGTTTCACTGGGGGTTTCAACGGCGTATAACTTACACTATTCAGGTAGATGGGATACTGGACTGCTATTGCCTTCCAGGTCGCGTGACGGGAAGCGACAGACGTCCAAGAAGAAGCGCCATCGTCGACGTCATCGTCACCACCGCTCTGCATCCCACACTCGCCACCGCTCGATTTCTCCTCGCCGATGTGGCTCTCACTCGCCCATTCGCCGAAGTTCTCGTTCATCCCATCACCATTCACGCTCACCAGTTACTCGATCACGTTCACCTTTCCACCGATCACGCTCACCCTTCCATCGATCACGCTCACCTCTCTTACAGCCACGCTCGCCACAACAGTTAGGCTCACCTCTTCCTCGATCACGTTCGCCGTTTCAGCGAAAATCACGGTCGCCAATGCAACGTGGATCTCGATCGCCTGCCCGACGTATTTCACGATCGCCTGTCCGCCGTATTTCACGATCGCCCGTCCGCCGTATATCGCGATCCCCGGTTTGCCGAATTTCACGATCACCGGTTCGCCGCGCTTCACGCTCGCCTCTTCATCGATCTCGTTCTCCTGGACGCCGCGATTCCCGCTCTTCTCCTTATCGTCGCTCACGCAGCAATCCTCGCCGCGCATCGAACTCGCCGTCGCAGCATCGCTCGTCGCGCTCACCTTCTCTGCGGCAGTTTCGTTCTCGCTCTCCAGATCGCGCCGGGCATTCACCATCTGCTCGTTCAGGAGTTTCACAGTACACCCGCTCGAGGCCGCTTCGGAGATCTTCCCCTCTTCAACGCAAGTCACCCCCATATTCCAGCGATAACAATCCCACCCCCAACAGACATACTTCTAACGTCAACAATAACAACAGTCTCAGGTCTCCTCTTACGACCCGTAAGTCTCCTGTGATCTTATTGAAGACCCCCTTGTTGACGACCAAGACGCCGCTCCTGTCGTCTGCTAAAGCTCCCCTTCTTCCAAATAAACCCACGCCTATCCGGCGGTCCCCACCTAACCCGCGCCCGCCTCTCATAGCTAAAACCCCAATGATGAAGTCTCCATTACTTGCTAAACCTCCCCCTCTCTGCAATAAAAACTCAAACTTCCAGATAGGTCCCAAGTCATCACAATTTGTAGGCGGCCATCACCTTAATAAAGGAGCCATGCAGTGTGATTCACCCTCTCCCTCGTCAAAGTCGCCGTTGCTTGGCAAGGCCCCTAACTGTTCTCTCTCTGGACGCTCTGAAGCTCCGACTTCTTATGGTACTGACATGGACACCCAGAGGCAAATGACAACCGAAGTTGGTGGTGACAATAACAGGGCCAATGCACTTCAGGATAAGAGTTTCTATGGTCCAAACGCTAATGCTGCCAAACCCGAGGCAATGAACGTGCTTCAGTTTATGAGCCACAACGACAACATTTCTGACCAAATTCACGCGACCAGCAGCAGCGACCAGTCAAACAGCACACGTACCCTTACCCCCAGCGACCCTGCTGCCCATCTCGCTACAACTGCCGTCATGAGCCTCGCTCACCCGCGAGGCACGAAAGTGATGAGCCTTGCCGACAGCTTTCCCCACCACGGCGGTTTCAATTTCAACTCAAACTTCAGTGCTCAGCACGCTGCTCTCCTTGGCGCTGGTGGCAACGCAGTGGCTCACCATCATCCTCACCACCACTTGAGTGCCTGCAGCATGGCTACGTTGCATCCTTTCTGTGGAGGTGCAAGCATCACCACCACACCCAGTTACCCCAATACGCTCACGCACTCGCACCCATTCTCCACTCTCTCATCACTCCATCTTCCTCATCACGCTTCCACCTTTTCTTCTCCTCTTCTGCCTTGTCCGCCACCAACACCTCTGCTTCTTGGGCGTGGGGGGTTACTGAGTGGCGTCATGGGAGGTTACGGCCGGGGAGTTATGGGAGGACTCCTAGGACACGGGGGGCTCGCTCTAGGAGGCTTCAGGCTTGGTGCTCCTTCTGGCAACTACGGTGGTCGGCGAGGAGGGCGAGGTGGGGGCGTAACTCTTCAAGAGCAGCTCGCAAAAGCTGCTGCCGCCGTCAGGCTCAACAGGCCGTACTGAGCACACGTATTTAGATGTCGGAGAGGGGTTTGCCTGGTAGTATTACTCAACTACAGTTTAATTAAAATTTTATGGCTCTCACATTAACATCGCTGCCATGTCCATGCGTGGGGAAGGCCACGATGATTCTGTGTTCTCGGACACTAATCATCACATCAAATCGGACACTACGTGTACTTGAGCAAGTTTTGATAGCCTTTGGTCATGAAAACTGATTGTAACAATTAAAGGTTCCATGTGGATTATTTCGATTTGGATGAGCGTGGTCAATTTTCTTTCTTCCTGATGAAAGAATTATACGGCAGTTAAATGGTTGCGAATTCTTGCGAACTGTGATGTAGTGCAGCTAGATCAAATTCTGAATTCTTGCGAATGTCTGTGTGATTATCAAACGTAGTTTTAATGCATTACATTAACTCTCATCTTACTTCTACTGTATAAAAATGGTTTCTTGAATTCCTTTGCTAATTAACCAAACCTTGCATAATACCTTCATCTACTCGGTGCAACACTGTTTGTTTTTCTAGTCATTACTATTTTTTAGACTAACTGTGAAACAGTAGCTTTCGTAGTAGAAGATTATGCGCAGTTAAATAGCGAACCACGAAAATGCGTCAGTTGGCCATCACGCATCATTTCTACTGAATGAGCGTAGCAATCTGTTGTTTAATTATATAAGACTATTGCATGTACGTATCGGGTTAAGATCCGATAACGCTTATGTACATTTTAAATTCTGGAATGAGATACCCAATCGATAAGGAGCTCGATGTTTGATTTTTTATGTTGGCTCACAGTTTGGTGAGAAGGAGTAATTCTCGAGAATTTATGCAAAAAAACTCACCATAACATGTAGTTTCTACTAATTCCTTAGTTAAAATATGTCATTAGTCTTATCCTTAGTTGTAAAGTGATTTAATTTCAATGATTTATTTCGTCCTCTTCATCTTTCATTCTTTATGTCATTAGTATTTTTGTTTGGATTTCAGTCGATTCATATTTATCTGTAACATGTGACCTGTGATGAATCGACAAATTAACGTTCAAGTAATTTTGTTGTAGATATTTATTTCTCTTAAACGAGAAGCGTACGTAAGATAGCTCGCAAGATTTGTGGGAAGATTTTTCTAGTCATTATGTACCGAATGATTGCTTACGTACAGCTTGTACCTGGCATATAATTCCCGCTCTAGTCGATTTGTGTTTACTCCTTTGTGTATGTGTTCCAAATTATTGAGGAATTACGCAGAGTAATCATTCTTACTCTGTGTTACCCTAACTAATTAACTAAAAACTGAAATACTCAATTAATTTGATATTTATCATACTTTAATTACGATTTAAGTCCCAAATTATGATAAACAAATCGAATTTGTTGCGCATGGATATGCTGGGAAACGTGTCAGTAGACGAATAAACATGGCTAGCATGTAGTTTCGTTCGGTGTAGCCCCTTATATTTGATGGTATGATCTGTATCGTTGTCGACAGGGAATACAAAATAGAAAATTGGGTCTTACTGGAGTTCTTTCTCCGTTGTTGGTAATCGTCGACGAAGTTTCTATGAGTTGGCTGACTACGTAGTGTTGATTTCGATAAATGTAATATGTTATTTTTTCGGGAGCTTATCAAAACAATGAAATCGAGAAACGTTCTGTACTTATTTGGACACAAACATGTTTGTATTGTAAAAGCTGAGCCACTCATTGACGGATTAATCTATTAAGACATCACAGGATTTGGATTTAGGGCGTGGTGACTCTGAAGAGAAGAACGACGTCTCAGAGTCAGGCCTTTCGGAGCGATGTCGGAGTTCCCTGAGACCAGTCACCAGCAGATCGGTGTAAAATCTGAGCTCACTTGTCAATTCGGCCGCCACTAGTCTTCATTGTCCTGTGATCACTTCAACTATATATTTGTGGCTAACACGCCCCCAGGCCTCAGGAATATTGTTCTTGGGGCAAGGGCCAGCTGTCAAGTGGCCGGTGAATAGGTAGCGGGCGGCCGGCGGTAACACTCTGGCCGACCGCTGGCCACTCACGTTCCGGGGAGGAGAGAGAGTGCCTGAAACCACTCGCCAGCGCCAGTAGAGTTATTTATGAGCTTTGCGTGTCCATCATAAGCCATTGGACACGACTTACCTAGTCCAATGCATGATACGGGAAGGAGAAATCATGCCTTAATCTACGGAACTGCCACTTCCTATTTGTTATTAACCGTATCTACCATAAAAATTTGTGCTCATAAATTCATGGTACACTGATCGCTAAAGAATATATAAAAGATCACGTGTGCAACGCTAAAATAGTTTGAATATCGCACACTCCTCGAAACTTGACGTGGAAATTTTCTTTTGGTAATGGCAGTTGTAATATGACGTTAAATAATTTATCTCGGTACAAATAAACCACTGGAATAGAATTAAGATTTTTAGACCGATATTATATTTTTCGAATAGATTTCTGCGCCTGAACCTAGTGAAAAACTCCCATAGGTGAGAACTCGGCGGACAGCGGCCGATGCTGTCATGGTTGCAGCGTCTTAAATGCGGTCTATTGAAAATCGCATATGTTTGAACAACTTATCTCTTACCAGGAAATTTAGGTAATGAAAGAGTATTCCTAAACTTACAGACGTACGGCCCTTATCTGATAAATTTCTATAATGTAGGTTGTGCCTTATTGTGGCAGGTTATATAAGTGTGTACTTCAAGAAATTTCAACGGCTAGTTGTGAGAGCCTTGTGCGGTCTTTAGCTGAACTAGCAGCGGTCAACCCCCGTATCTTGCAATTGGGATCGTTGAAGAAGGCACTAAGAGAGGACACGAAGATGAACTTCCATGCTTGTCGTGTCCTGGTGTCCACTTAGCTAAATGTAATTCGTTCGTGCTATTGTGCACGCCTATATTTTCATAGTATAAAAAACGCTTGAGCTCATATTTTTAAAACCAAAGCGTTGGTAACGAAAGGAATACATCTTAATTTAATTTTATTTCATTTACAAAGAAGTACGGTAACTGGCATAATATAATAGCCGAGAATAATTGAAGAAGTATATTATTGAAAACCGCATTAAACCGTTAGTAGATTTCTGTCACAGTGGGCTCCACGCCCAATGATGGGGTGGGCAGCGACATCTTCATAGGTATTGTTTACTTAGTTATCAGCGATGGCGTGGCGAATAAAGGGCCATGAATGATGTATGGGGGGAAACCTGGAGATTTTGAAAGGCGTGTAGAAAACTAAGTGGAGTGCAAAAAGACAGCGTCATTCGTAATCGACATTTGTTTATCCGGTCCGCACTTGCGCAATGTTTTGCCTTGTATTCGTCAAACCAATGATGTTATCAGTCTTGTATGTCAACTTTTAATTAGACCAACAGAATAATTGTCCATACATTGATGTAAAAATTCGTAGCGTCGGGAGCAAACAAAACTTTGAGAGCGTGAACGCCATCGCCCGCTGCCCAGGGCAGCATGGTTATGATGGTACGCTCGTTTTGTGGGTTTATTCAGCTTTAGCGTATTATGCGTGTGCGAGGTTTTGTACCTATGTATTTTGATTTTCATTTGCATTACACAGACACTTACAGACTACAGCAAGTCATTAACTGACATTTAGGTTGCTTGGGATTGGGAAGTTGGGGTTCATTTGCTAGAAAGTTGTCTGCTTAACTACCACTGCATTCAGGCTTTCAACATTTTGCTATCAGCTTTAGCTTGCAAATTTTTTTGCCATAGCAGCTGTTGAGGACTTGAGGTTGAGCCGTACATCTGTGTCAGGCTGTCAGCCCCAGGTCACAGGTGTCAGGTGGCTCAGGCCATCAGCTAGTGAGGAAACAATACAAGCTCTCAGGCCCAGGGGCCAGGGCCAATGGTCATCCTCCAGTCTGTAGAGTATGGCACAACATAGGTCGAGGACGCCGTTTTTCTGCCCAAAAGACTCCAAGGCACCATCTAAACGGACGGTGGACGCCGATGTTTGCAGCAAACGGACGGCGAGGACGCCAAAATTGATTGCCCCTGGTCTAGAAGTTGTTGCGACTTGCGTGGGCGCCGGAAGTTTACCATGCACACCACCAGTACGCCAGGGAAGAAAGTTGCCACTATGTTTGCTAGAAATACGAAAGTGCATCTCTGACCGATGCCTAATGATAGTGCGTACTTGCACGATCAATGCGGCAGTTGCAAGATGATCGACAT